TCTGAGTTTCAGTCTTTTTTATTCAATCATGTTAATGTTAAATTAGGATTTTATTTTACACTTTAACTTCAGTTTGAACACTTTAAAATCATTTTGATATATAAATGTGTCAAAAAGAAAGTGCCACTGAAATATCATGGAGGAGAACATATAATATCCATACTTCTTTGGAGCCATGCCTGCTGAAAGTGCCCAGTGCAGATGGGGGTGAATTTTGATTTGTTTTAAACAAAAAACCTAAACAAAACTGAAAATATTCTAGTTCCTTCATATTTCAACTGAAAAATGCCGTAGGTTTTAAACACTCATATTGAAGGAGAAAGTGACACAAGAGATTTTTCCATCCTATCAAAATTCATCTCCTCAAAATAAAACTGAGAAAAAATATCAACACATGTATTCAACTTGATTCAGATAGTAGTTTGGCAACATACCTTGTGCAACTACAACAGAAGCTAATGTCATTTCTGATCCAAGAGCTGCAAAGCCCAGGAGGAGAAAGGCACCTAATGTCTTCATGATGTCTAAATGTTTTGACAGAGAAATACTGACATTTATATTGGTAAAACTAGATGATGCAATCTTCGACTATCCTCATTCCCGACATAGTTCTTCACTGCTTACGTACACCGGTGTATTTCCAATCCCGTTGTTTATTTTCACAAGCAATGTGACATTCAGTTGGTTACATAATAAAGTTGGTTAGGTTAACATTTTCACATTTCTGTACAATTTAAACAATTGTTGTGAAATAAAAAAATCCATAGCATAAGGCTGAGAATAAGCATGAGAAAAATAGAAAAAAATGTTTAAAATATAATAAATTTGTTTTAATCTGTTAAGTAGCAACAGGAAAAATGAATTGTGTAGCACAGAGCACAAGGAATTCAGTGTGAGACAATGTGCATAAAATGGGCAATAAAATAATGGGGATTACTGTGTTTCACAAGATGAATTAAATGTGAGTAATTATGTGATGTAATGGTGGTGATGGTGGTGATATGGTGATGATGACAATGTGTACTTGCCTTCAGGCTTAGGAAGAATACATTTTCAGTGACACACAACACTGAGAACTAAAAAGAAAGATATTTGTAATAGTTACCACATTGGGAAAGTATATCAGAAACTTAAGGATACCGCCAATTATGAGAAATGTGAATTGGAAAATAAGCTGCATTAATTAAAACAGACAAAAGAGCAGATTTATTGGGGATTGTGACCTTAGTTTCTTTTTTCCTATCCAGGAATATCTATTTCTGACAGATCTCAGCATCAGCTGCAACATATTCATAGGTGATTGCTTGTGGCCAAGTATGATTGTCTTCAAGTGTAGAGTCTTGGCAGTGGGTCTGCAAATGACTGTAGAGACCTATTCTGGGTCCGCATGGTCCAGATAGGATAAAATTTGTCATTAAAGCTGTAGGATTATGTAAGCAAACTATACCTCAGTTTAAAATAGCTCTTGGAAAAAGTCCTAGGTCCAAGAAATTGCCACAAGCAGTATCTTCTCCCATTTTAATGGTGGACATGGACGCATCAGTGACTAACAGAACCTGACTAAACCCAAGAAGCTATATTATGGAAGAAGCTAAAAGAGAAACATGGTAGATTATTTCTCAAACTAAATAAACAGAAAGAAGGTTTAGGCTAGGATACTCATATTAACTAGTTAAAAGGACAGAGCTAAACGAAGACAAGAATTTGGAGAGACCAATCTCTAAGCACACCAACCGCTAACCACTATTGCATCACAGCCTTTTCAGCTTCCAGTCATCTGCTACTAGATTCTAAATTTAGCAAAATAACAAAGGCCTACAGAATTAATCTAGCATAAGCTTGCATGAAGTGTGTTGTTGTTCTTTCATTCAGTTGTTTCTGACTCTTCGTGATCTCATGGACCAGCCCACGCCAGAGCTCCCTGTTGGCCGTTACCACCCACAGCTCCTTCAAGGTCAATCCAGTCACTTCAAGGATGCCATCCATGAAGTGTACAGTAGTCTATATCATCATCTGCTTGAAGTTCTATAGATTGTATTTGCAAAAGCTGCCAGCCTGCTCAGGTCGCCTAAATGAGAACAACTTTCTCTGGTTTATTCCCAACATGCCTAAAGGGACTATGAATATGGAGGTCCACTTTAGTTTATGTAGCTGCGACCTCTCATATCCTTTCTCAAAGCTATCTACTGTTTCGCAGTAGTGAATTTCATAAGATAATTATGTGTTGTGTAAAAAAGGGTTTTTTCTAGTTTGTCCTGAAACATCCATCAATATAATTAGATAGCATTGGGTTCAGGAATGAGGAAATGTGAGAAGATGAGGAAAAATATTTCAATCTATTTCCTGTAAGCTCTTCATTAATAGATAGATAGATAGATAGATAGATAGATAGATAGATAGATGGATTATATATATATATATATATATATATATATATATATACACATACATACATACATACACACACACACCCTTATCAGATTCCTGTATTTAAACATATTTTTCTTATATGAAAGCACAGTAATAATTTCAACCTTTCTTTGTACAAAAACATAAACCTTTGGAAGGCGTCAAGTTAGAGTGCCATTTTCTTCAAACAATCTTTGGCAGATAATTCATCAAGTAAACTTTCAAGCATTTCTGACACCTGCTTTTTCTGTGCTAAAATTGGCAAAGGATTGCTAAAGCTGGGATTTTCACTTTCACGTTTATCTTCATTCTCAGTGTATACAAAAATATTCAATATAACAAAATATTCCAGGAAGAGAATGTCACTAAAAAGCATTGTGGAAGATCACTTAATCATTTCAAAACATCCTTTCTCAGAAGTGGCAATCTTAATGCTTGTTAGTTTCATGTTTTCTTTGTGACCTACCCAGAACTTGATGAACCTACCAAAAAAGTTGACATAGATACATTTATTTATTTATTTATTTATTTAGTCTTAAAACGGAATAGATCTAAATACAAATTCTACTGTCAGCTAGAGTAGATTTATTAAATCAATAGAATCTGCTTAAAAGTTGGTTTCTGGTTATTTCAAATTAGAGCAACTCCTTCCAGGCTTTTTTTGGCAAGAGTTTTTCAGAGGTGGTTTTCCTTTTCCTCCTCTGAGGCTGAGAGAATATAACTTCCCTAGAATCACTCACAAGGTTTCCATGAGTGAGTGGTCTTACAGAGTTCAAACCAGCACCCAAACCACTACATCATGATGGCTCTCATAACGTTGAATACTTTTTCAACAATTGATTTCATTGTCTTATTCTAATTAGGACTTTATTAAGACCATTGAATTAGAACTATAAAGCATGTTACAACAACATGATACACTGGGGCAAAGTTTGTAGAGTTACTTTTTAGATTAGAGCTTCCAGATTCAGTTCCCCTAATAACTATATTGTTGGATGCTGGATTCTGGGAACTATAATCCAAAATGAAACATTTCCAAGCTCTGGGTCAATGCAGGGGGTGCAAAGAAGTATAGGCAACTATTCTTATCACAATTGTGATTGAATGTTTTAAATAAATACATACGAGCAAACCAAAATGTTAACATTTTCATAGTAGGCTCAAAATCAACTTTTGGGGTGTGTGTGTGTGTGTGTGTGTGTGTTTTCCTTAGAAGAGTATACTTGGGTTTGGAACTCATTTTGACACTAATGTTCGCAAAATGGGAAAAAAATACAATAGAGACAAGACATCCAGCCAGCCAATAAGGTTGCATATAAGTGACATATCAGTCTTTAAGCATGAATCATTTCAAGTTTTCTCCTGCTTGATAAAAATGATGGGAGGTTTTAAAGTGGTTGTTGACATTTAGGTAACATTGGCTGGAATCCTCACCTGAGTCAATTATCATGGGGTGAGTCAGGAGATCTGCTAACTAAAATTAAGAGTAACATTTTTGTTCAAAATGCACTATTTTCTGTTTTATTGTATGGGTTTTTTCTACAAGTTCTGATAATCGTAAATGAAATACCATCATAATTAACCTTTTTCTCTGTGGGGGAGACCTTATCTTGTGCAGGATATGGATAAGGAGAAAAGGGAGCATTCTTTATACCCCTTGATTGGAAAATTTGTTTTGATCACCTGTGTAAGTTCATAGGCCAATCACCCTTCCCAGAAAAAATGTTTCCAGGGAGGTGCTGAACCAGAAGCTGACTCCTTCGTGCATCTTGCACAGAGTTTCATAATTTTTTACACTATCCCATTGTAGTACTATGATTCCACTTCAACTTAAATGATGGATGGACTTTGTAGTTTGAAGAGGCACCAAAACTCTTTGGCTGAGAATTCTGAATATCACTCCCTGGACTGCAGATCCAAAAATCCCATAGGATGAAACTATGGCAATTGATAGCACCAGAATTATATAGTGTGAAAGGGCCCTTGGTAATTTCAAAGGGCCCTTGGTGTCTATTAAACAACAAGTTGTTTACCTTAAGGACAACTCAGGCAATGCTGCGTTTGAGTGAGAAGCTAAGCCTCAGTTCTCTTCTTCCTACTTAAAGTCAAGCCTTGAATATGGATTTTAATATCCTGGAAGTTTTATATGTTCCTGCTCATGTACTTCGGTTCAAGTTTTTACTAGTTATGCCTTCTTGCTTGTGGACTTATGTTGCTTGTGGACTTATGCTGTCCTGAGTCGTTTTCGGGCTGATATGGGCGGGATAGAAATAATGTAAATAAATAATAATACCTGTGATTTCTAGCTGTTCCTGGACTTTGTCACCTCTGGAACTTTATGAGACATTTGGATTATTGTTTGGTTATCACCTGTTGCAAAACCTTTTTGGATTATATATCTTTTTCTCTTATTCCTACTTTTTATATCATTTTATATGTTTAATGATAAACTGTTTGCTTATATTCCTGGACTCTTGTGTAGTACAGTGGCCATAGCTGTTTCCAGGCCTGGAGTGCAACACCTAGACGTTGAAAGTCAGTCCTGTTTGCACATATCCCTACTGGAACAAGAAACTTTTTTTGTTGGCAAGAGATTTGCAACTGCTGCAGAAAAGATTTTATTGGCAAAGATTCATGAAGTTCAAAATTACAATTACAGTGTTAACTTTCATTTTAAGAACTCCTTTCATGAAAAATACATATCCCTTTCCCAAAAGGTTGTTTCATGTTGCAGTAACAACCTTTTGTTTGCAGTAAGAGGTACAATAGTGAAAACAATGGCCTGAAAGGCAATGCCCAAAAACTTCAGGCTGCAATTGAATTCATATCAAAAATATAGTATTCTGGTTGTAGAAATTTTGCCTGAACATTTTTTAAAAAACCATTGACTAATAGTACATTCAGTATATATCTTCCATCATATATTAGGTAACCATTTCCAATGGAGAAATGTAGTGCTTGGTAAAGATGATAGCAGTAGGAAAAGGGGGTGGTGGATTGAAAAAACCAACACAGACAAAAGAACATGAGAACATATGTGTATAGCAAACTGCCACTAAATAGTCTTTTATATCATCATCAGAAAAGTTGTTGCTGTCACTGATGTTTTGTAATTTATAGAACATGATTGCATACCCAGTGCTGCTAATGTGACATTATATAAGAAAAAAATAAGTTGCACAGAGTTAAAACAGGAGCTTTTATCACTTAAATCACATTAGATGCAAGCAGCACAGGGCATATGCCTGCACATAATGAATGATCCATTCTTATGTTCTGGCACAGACCATAACATGAAAATGAAAATTAATGCTGGTTCAAAAGTGACCCCAATACGACTTCCAAAAAAGGAAATGAAAGTAAATAAATGTTCAGGATATGTTCAAATATCGAGTAACTTTAACTCAGGAATGTTTAGGAAATCATTTGTTTCCATCATTTATCTATTTCAGGAGTGAGGATGATACAACCCTCCAGATTACAGCCACCAGCATTCCAGACCATCAGTTTTACTGCTAGACTTACTAGGACTTGTAGTCCAACAATATATGAAGGGCTACACTATGCCCATCCCAAACTATATCATTATAGACTTAGATTTACAAGTAAACCTAAAAGATAATGACCATTTACTTGACTTCTCAAGACATGAAGAGACCATTTATCTTTGTTCCTTTTGGGGCTAGGTCTTCAAAATATTTAGAAACCCTATCTTCAAATAATGACTAATTCACCCCTAGGTTTTGGCTTGGATATATTTCTTCCATATTCGGATTATTCATCAGTTAACAGAGGATTCTTGTATAAATTGTTGTTAATGAGTGTCCATTAGTGATCTCAGGCAGGCTGAGTTTATTATTTCAGAAGATAAAGTTCAATGAATCATTTGGGATGATACTTGGTTGGGGCTTGCAGTCACACAAATGCCACAGGTGAAATAACATCATATAGGGAAATGCTTCTCAAAGTGCAGATCCATGGACTGGTGCTGCTCCAAAAGCAATCAGTTGTAATGGGTTTCCAGGAAAGAATGAAAAACTAGTTCTACCTAATAGGTATAAATATGGTGCCAGTCCTCGGTTAATTAGAAGAATTGTGATAGCATGGAAATCTCAAGTTTAGGACATCCATGTTGGTGCTGGGTATCCATGAGATGCGAGAGATTTAAACTAAAGGAAAGATAGGGAGAAAGATTTTTAGAGTTAAATGTGACCATCACAAACATTGCAAAATTTATTACATAAATGTTATGCTGTTTCTCAATACCAACGTGCAATACCAGTGGGTTATAATCTGAGCAAGAGAGTACATCACCCAGTAATTATAGAATGAAGTTCCTACCTTGCTTGAATCACAGACCACACCTTTGGGGGATTATATATTTCTCATGTCGTTCCTGAAGGCTATTCTACCATGACTCATAGCTAAACTACGGAACAGACAAAAGATAGTCAAGGTGACATCATGAGATCTAACATTACTTCTAGTGGCTTCAAATCCTTACATCTCAGCATCAATATTTGCATATATGGATAAGTGAATGCACAATTATCTCCAGGCACTTGTTTATCTCTTGCATTACTCCAAACTTGTTTTCTTTTACATGTAGATCAAACCCATCTAGCATAGGCATTTTCATTGTCCATATTTAGGTAACATATTTTCTCCTAATGTGTCTGGAGTCACTGGAGCAGTGAATGTTCTGTCTGGGTTTTAGGCTCAAGGACCTATCCAAGGTGCTGAATCATGTCCCAGTGCTCATTGTATTACTGCTGCAATTCCTAAAAGCAAGTGGGGGGAGAAATTAACCAGCCTCTATGGAAGGAGCCAGGACTGCAGCGAGAAAAATTGAGGGTGGGGTGATTTTTTTAGCAACTGATTAGAAGTAGTTCCATAACACAAAATAATTTAAATAGTATGGTTCATTCTATATTTTATATAGACTTAATTAAAACAATTTTCTTGTTTCCTTCATGGGGGGCTTCAAATCCCTCCCATGGCTTAGGCTTTGCCTACCAGTGGTGGGTGGGCCAACTTGGTTGCTTCCACTATATCAGCTATTGCTGCAAGTAATGACTGAATAAATTGTCAAACTTTGCTTGAGATAGTGCTTGCAGTTCTGGAGGGACTTGTTTAATTTTTGCTTCTCATAGACTTAGCAGGGAGATTGGGTTATACCCAGTTAAAATTCATGAGTAAACCAGGGTTTTTTTTTAACCTGAAAAATTTGGAGGGGGAGGTTGAACCCCTAATCTCTCTCCCACCTTGGCAACAGCCCTGGAAGGAGTCCTTTGCCATTTGTACCATATGCTGCTGGTGGTCCTCCAATACCTTGGAGCCAGGATACATGGTCTGTTCTGGCCATCAATTGTATCAAAATTGGAGGCCTTTTGTTATCTTCCATTGGACAACCTTACCTCTCAATTGTGGCTCAAGGCGAATTACAGAATATTTAAAACATATAAACATTGTAAAAAAAATGCCACATGTTAAAAGGTATTTCTATAAAAGAATGGCTCATATCTCTCTTCACCTCCTTTCCAAGGTGATAAATTAGTATTCCTAGCTAAAACATATCCTACCTCAACATAATATGAACATCTTGTTGTCAATAGTACCAAATATTGGCTTGACGCAGTCTCTTCCACACATTCCTTCACAGCATTTCAGTTCATTTGGACATTGGTAATCAGAATCACAGTTGTTCGGTGGATCAAGCATCCGGCACCTTCCAGCAACAAATGGGCAGAGCCCTGGCTTCCCTTCAATAGAAAGAAGAAAGTATGCAATGAAAGACAACCTTTTATTGTCCCTTGTTCTAATCTAATCTTGATTTGCCAAATGCTGGACTAAAAGATCTTATCCATGTGATGCTGCCCACATTGGTATAAGCCCTAGGGAATGGGAAGGTACTCTGAAATATCTCTCAGCCTTATTGTAGTATTGACAACATAACTAAAAGCATCACTCCCTCCTTATGTCAGTGCTGCCATTGCTGAAAGAGTAAGTGGAGGGGTTCAAGAAGAAAATCAAAAGAGGAAGTGAGTATCAGAGAAAAAGAATGTGAGGGGAAAGAAGAGGAGAAGGGGAGAAAAGAGGAGACAATCCATATGGTGTATAGGATCAGAAAATTGGCCTCTGACCTGGGAGAACTTAGTTTAGCTCTACATTGGGTCATGAAACTTTGTTAAAACAGGTTGGACAGAACGATATGAAGGTGAAGAAGTAAAGAGAAAGCAAGGTACTCCATTAGCAGAAGTGAAGGGGTTCTTCTGTAACCTGAGATACTCATTTCAGCAGAAGGTTGTCTTTGGACTTACTTCTTGGGATTTGTGGACCAGATGCAGCAGGCATCGCTAAGGAAATGACAAGGAGGCTCACAAGAAGGAAGGCAGCCAGTGTCTTCATGGTTGCAGCAGGACTCAAGCACTGAGAACTGAAGTCCACTTTATACTGATATGGATGAGTCAGGAGATTATCATCATCATCATCTCACACCCTCATGTCCAGCCAGTGCATCTTGCTAAGTGAGTTCTGTTGTGTAGTATTTTTCATAGACATTCGTTTCTCTCTCCCTCCCTCCTCTGGTTCCAATTTAAGGCTAAACTAGGGGTGGAACATTTGTCACACAGTTTCCACTTGTTTTGCTTTTGCCATCAGCTGTATGGGAGGAAGCTAATCTAAACTATTACATAGGATGAGCTTTTTTCCTCTTGCCAATAGCAGGCACAGAAGGGTTGGCTCACATTCAGAATGTGGTAGCTGCCAAGTAGTCTCCTCCCCCTTTTTATGCAATCAATCATAATATAAAAACTTGCTTTTATCTCATCCACCACTCCTCAAGTCATAGACATTTGCAAAATACTCCCCTGTAAACCCTACTAATGATTTATCCTCTACCTAATTGTCTAATTTTATTAATAATAGTCATGTCTTCTCCTAGTCATTTATCCAAAAGCTCACCTGATCTAAGGGTAGTTTAAAGCTGCTGTTATTCTGGCATATATAACTGATAAACAGTTCCATACAAACTCAAATAATTTTTCTTTTATTTTTCCCCTCTCTGATCTTAAATTGTTCCAGTTAAACTATGCCAAATGTAAAAACTTTCTTCCTCCTGCCAGTCTCATTGTGTCTTTTTCATATAATTTTTGCTGCATTTGTCATATTATTTTATTACCCATTTTTACTTGAGTCTAATGCACCATCAAATCTAACGCACACCTCGATTTTCACAAACCTGAAACCAAAAAGAGTATTTGCTGCCAAATGGAATGCACAGCAGCAAAATGTGCCGTCTTTGTAATTTGGCCAAAAAAGTGTGCATTACAGGTGTTGCCTGCTAAGAACTCCTTCTTTGAGATCAAAAGTATTGAAACACCAAAGCTTCCAGAAATGGGGGAAAAACCTTGGAGTGCATCTATGCTGTAGAATTAATCCCCTTTAACTGCCCTGGCTCAGTGCTATTTCACTTCTGATTCCATCTTCAGAAAAATGACAAGCCACAAGTTATTTTTCTGCATCTGGTCCACAGCAAATTGTATGATGGAGAAAAGGAATTCTGTAAATACAGTAAAAAAGGAAATATTATTTTCTAATAATTAACTTTTTGCTTTGAAGAATCACATGATTTTAATATAAATTTATCAAATCATAGAGATTCTTTATAAATAGGTTTGGATAATAAAATATTTATATCAAGTGAGGATTAATCATTCAGTCAAAGTTTACAAGATACAACCAGTAAGCATGCAGTATCTATATTCAAGACACACCTAGCCTTTGTAGGTATGATTAAATTATAAGTACATTTGCATTTACTAGCAATCACCAGATGAAGCAATTAGTTTCTGACCTATCTAACAGCAGGAAGCAGAAATTGGAAGTGGGCAAGGCTGGCAAGTCTTTGAGATGCAGGGCACAGGATGGTGAAAAGAAAAAAATGGTTTTATTTATGAAGAACCATTGTATAAAGGATGTGAACATTCAGGGTGTAAGTCAGTGTTTCTCAACCTGGGGGTCGGGACCCCTGGAGGGGTCACAAGGGAGGTATCAGAGGGGTCATCAAAGACCATCAGAAAACATAGTATTTTCTGTTGGTCATTGGGTTTCTGTGTGGGAAGTTTCATCCAATTCTATCATTGATGGGGTTCAGAATGCTCTTTAATTGTTGGTGAAATATAAATCCCAGCAACTACAACTCCCAAATGTCAAGGTCTATTTTCCACAAACTCCACCAGTATTGACATTTGGCATATTGAGTATTCGTGCCAAGTTTGGTCCAGATCCATCATTGTTTGAGTCCACAGCGCTCTCTGGATGTAGGTGAATTACAACTCCAAAACTGAAGGTCAATGCCCACCAAATCCTTCCAGTGTTTTCTGTTGGTCATGGGAGTTCTGTGTGCCAGGTTTGGTTCAATTCCATCATTGGTGGAGTTCAGAATGCTCTTTGGTTTAGGTGAACTATAAATCCCAGCAATTACAACTCCCAAATGACAAAATCAATCACACACACCCAACCCCACCAGTTATGCAGGAGTAACGAAAATAATTTTGTGGTTTTGGGAACTGTATTAAGGGGTCGCAGGATTAGGGAAGGTGAGAACCACTGGTGTAAGTCAATGTAAACTGAGCTCAAAGGGAGCTTGTCCAATCTCTTGCCTTGCACTACTTACATCATAAATATCAGTTTTAGATCTGTAGTGAGAAAGGAAAGGACAAAGAGATTCTTTGTATCTGCCATCTGACTTCACAGAACTTCAGAGGATCTAATTAACAAATGAACAACACCCAAACTAAAAAGTCATTCACAATTAATTTGAATCTGAGAAGACATTATTTCCCTCACACACCCATCAAGGGCCATATGCTTTATTCAGATCACTCATGGAAGGCTTAAGTAGTACAACTGCTGCTTTCCTTTATCTGCATGTGGTTCAGATGAATGATGTGCAGACTAAATAGATATATTAAATCAGTCAGCTCTATCCCTGCAGAAGAAAGTGCTATGCAAACTCATTCTCATTTGAAGTTGCCTGTAAAAGCTGGGCAGTACTTCCTCACTCATCCTCCTTTCAAGACGTTGTGGGGGGAAAAAGCACACTAGATTATTATGGGATGTAGGACAATGGTTTCAGCTTCACTTTTCAATGGAACATGAGGGTCCAGCAAATATGACTAAGATAGAGCAGCATGGGATTTAGAGTGTGTGTGCGTGCGTGCGTGCGTGTGTGTGCGCACATCTTTTTTTGTTGGTCTGATTTATGGTGTCATTTATTATTATTATTATTATTATTAACTTTGTTTATACTCTGCCTTTCTCCAAATGGGAATTCAAGTGGGCTAACAAACTCACACTCTAGGGTGGTTAGAATATAATAAATACGCTTGGTACTGTTTCATTGTCCAGGTGGACTCCAAAAGATGACCTAGACAGAGGAGGACAATCCATTTTGGGGGGAGGGGGGAGTTGAAGGAGGAAAACCATTTCCCCCATTTTCACTGATTACCCCCCCCCCAACGCACACACTTTCCATGTCATATGTAAATGAGGGTTGTTTTAACAATGGCAACAGCGGCGGGGAGAATTACAGGAAAACAGGAGGAAATGGTTTTACTCCTTCAACCCTCCCCCCCCCCAGTGGATTACCCCTATTGGGCTATGCTTAGATAATGAAACAGTATCACACACTTAAAATTGCTTTTAAAACTCACCCACCCCACCCCCTGAATCTCACCCACACTTCCCCAGCAGCCTGCTCTTTATCTTTCCTCAAATGCCTACTGGCAAAATAAGTTCTTGACCTGCCTGCAGAAAGCCATCCTGGTCTCTCTTGGGAGGGAATCTCACAGTCCGGGAGTAGCCACCAAAATGGCCCTTTCTCGTGTTCCCCCCAAACATGCTTAAGCGGGTGGTGGGACATTACAGGGTTTTCTTAGCAGATTTGTTCAGAGACAGTGTACCTTCCCCAAGTCTAGTCCAACACTCAGACCATTACATTATGTCAGTTCTTATATTCACAAGCAAAACAAAGTCAGAGATTCTTCAGAGTACCTTATCTCGGATCCAGGCATTGCTTTGAACAGCAATATTCACAGCACTTCTTTATTCCTTGGCAAGAAAAATAATTTATATATTCATCAGGAAGGCGAACAGTGCATTTACAATGATTTCTAGGAGAATGCCCGGTTTTTTCTGCAAATAGAAAAGACTACAACCTAGCTTGGTGAATTCTCATTCTCAGTTAAGATTGTTATTTTGATTCAGCATGATCAGGGGTAGCATCTTTTTACATTGTCTAAATTTTTCCATTCTACTTTATTTGATGTTTCATCTAACATATAAAACCAACATGTTTTCCTAACTGCATTTCCTGAAAGGCTATTTTGGGAGGAAAGTGCTATACAGACAGTCCCCAAGTTTCAAACCTTAGTCCATAGTTTCCTAATTAGTAATTTCCTAATATTCACACTTGCCTTTCCTGCTATAATCATTACACAAAATTCAGAATGTCCCCTGTGGTCCAAAAGCATTGTTCTGATCTGCCTGCATAGAAAGAATTGCTGGTGTAATATCCCAACATTATTGGAATTCCACCACAAGTTGCAGAAGGCAATTCTAGCCAGAGTGCCAGAAGACCCACAAGGGAAAAGGCAGTTAGTATTCATGTTGACCTCCAGATATGCAAGCGAAAGTACCGGTCTTAATCAAAGCTTGGATTTAAACCAGATACTGATAGGGTTGAGTGGACAGATTACATCCTTTCCCAGCTTCCTCATACCTTCTAGTAATTAACTGCGTTGCATGACAGGAAGGCTGTGTGCATGAATTCAATATTTATTTCATAATCCTAGAATATTTGTGACATTGCAGCAATGTGATCTTCATGATCGCATCTTCCCCTATGAACCGACGTGAGCTTTAAAATCTGCTGGGGAGGCCCTTCTCTCTCTCCCACCTCCATCACAAGACCAGTTGGTGAGGACGAGGGAGAGGGCCTTCTTGGTGGTGCACCCCCCCCCAGCTTTGGAACTCTCTCCCCAGGGAGATTAGCTTAGCGCCCACCTTGTCCACCTTCTGTAAAGACCTGAAAATTTGGATGTTCCAATGTGACTTTGATTAATTGGTTCATCAATTGACTTGTCCCTTCTAGCCCTAACTTAATATCTGGGTTTTGCACTTTACTACCAGCCCCACCCTTGCAGTTGTATTGCACAAGCCCTGAACACACCCACTGTGCTTGGCTACTGGTTGTTGGCTGTTGGTGGTCCCACGCGATCAGCGAGTGGTGACGGGGGCAGGACTGTGAAATCTGGAAGCCCCTAGTCACAGACTGGCACATGGGCGGTGGGTACGGACTCAGTCGTTCTACCTCAAGGTCCGAGGCAGTTGAGTAGTTCGGCAGCTGTATCTGCGACTGAGCAGCC